TATCCTTTTTTTTTTTTTTTTTTTTGTCCCTTGGGTACTGGTTTGTACATTTACAAGCTAAAACAGCTAAGGTTTTGCCGGACGAGTATAGCTGCTTATATTTATAAGATTATTAGTATTATATATATATATATATATATATAATGGACAGAACCTAAAGCGTGCTTCACACCGTCTCCAGACCTCCACACAACAGGCAGCGAGTTGGATCTGGTCAAGTTCCAAAATAAATAAAGTTAAATAAAACCATGCTCGCAGCATAATACTACTTTAGGCGTGAAACACATCTGTTTACCTTGCATTCTACGTCAATAATAATGGTCGCTACGAACGCGTTGCAAATATCAGTTGCAGTTGATAGAAGAAATCGCAACAGACGGACGCGTATACGAAAACAAATAATCTATCCGGTTGCAAAAGCTGTTGTTGTTGCCAGAGGTGGCAGTTCCGCCTTAGCCACCGAAACTGTGTTACCTCCCCTGCTTGGCGGATGAAAAGGACACCCGTTGTATTTAGGGAATATATATATATATACCCAAGTGCGTGATTGGTGTATACGAAATAAATTCCAATCACCAACAATTACTATTCTTAAAAGAGTGCTCAATACAAAGTAGAGCGAATATAATTATTTATTTTAAAATCATAACATAAATATGTTATAAAATCACTACAAAATTCTACAATCTACATTCAACATCATCACTTGATAAGACACCAAGAGTGTTGAAACTAAATGGATCTAAAGAAATTGATATATGTATATATATATGTTATAATTTTTATATATATATATATATATATATATATATATATATATATATAAAAGGTAAAAGACAATAGGAAAACTCTGTTATTAGCCGACACGTTCCGTGGACTTTTTCAAGGCAAAAACGAAATGAATTTATTGAAAACAAAGTAACTATGAACAATAAACAAAATGTCCTTTGCAACTAGAAGAATTTAGAAAACGCTATTGTATTCATATTGCCAACTGAAAATTACGTCAAGTCTTTTCACGTGTAGACATATTGTTTTTTTACTGTTGTGTTGACATATTCAACCATTTTCTTTTGCTTTTTTGATATAGTTGTATATGTTGACTTGGGAGAGTTGTAATTCTGTTAAGAAAGGTGATATTGGGAAAAAAACCTGGGCGTAGATTAATATTTGGATAATATTCAATGGCGGCACTCTCGAGATTTTTCCTTCTGAGTGAGTTATTTTCTTTTTTTTTTTTATGAATGTAGTATATTTAAAATCAAAGTTGTGGTTGAATTTATTTCTATGTAAGACTAGTGCATTAGTTACGTTGTTTTTTGTTCGGTCTCTTTTGTGCTCGACTAAAAGAGGAAAGAAATTACGACTTTTAACCCAAGTGGAAGTGCGATCTATTAGTAAAGATCGTCTAGATGCTAAAATAACTTAAAGTTCACCAAGTTCTTTCCCTTTTATTTCCTTCGCCTTTTAATATTGAAACTTTTGCCCTCTTTCTCTTTTCCCTCTCTTCCTTTTTTTTTCTTTTTTCTTTACCTTGTGTCTGAATAAATTGAACTCCATTTATTTTTCTAAAAATTGGTGAACGTCTGAGTCCACGAAATAAATTATCACTTGACCGAATGGATTTTTAAGAATTCTTTGGGTCATTATATATATTAGACTAGCAGTAGAGCTAGGCGTTGCAAGACAATAAGAAACACTACCTGCCCAAAAAAAGTGAAGTTTTGTTGAAATCGGTTGAAAAATGTAGGAAATACGATCCCATATATAAACGAAGACACACACACACACACACACACACACACACACACACACACACACACACACACACAACCTGGGTTTTATAATAAGTATACCTCGATAACTCGATATTAATAAGTATAACTCGATATGAGTTGTCCCCCTTTCATTAATGCCTCTTAATCGTGTTTTCAACTTGATTTCGTGCAAAAACAATTGTGTTTTTCCAATTTTGGGCGCTGTCAGAACCACCGCAAGGTAATTTTACGTCGTTCTGTGAAGTTTTGTTGAAATCGGTTGAAAAATGTAGGAAATCCGATCCAATATATAAACACACACACACACACACACACACACACACACACACACACACACACAAAAAAAATCTGCGTTTTATAATAAGTAAGATTATATATATAGGCACGGGGGAGTAATGGATAGCGGCTCGGATTGAGAAATCGGAGAGCCGAGTTCGAATTCCAGTCGAATCCGTTATATTCACTTACGTGCTAATACCCTTGGGAAAGGTATGAATCTTCTTCTCCCTCCAGCTATAGGTAAATAGCAGGACAGATATATAATGTTCATGTTTGTTTTTATATTCTGTTCCACCCTTACATCATTAGCCAGCTGACCCTGATGATACGTATAGGTGAAACCTAGGTAGGTTTACTTGGCTCTCTAGGGTCATATATATATATATATATATATGTGTGTGTGTGTGTGTGTGTGTGTGTGTGTGTGTGCAGATATGTAGAAAAATAGGAAAGAACACGTTAGGTAAATAAACCGGAGTTATTTAGTATTTTTGTTTTTATTAAAAAAAAAAAAAAAAAAACACTGCTTCATACAGAAGTAGAGCTTAAATTATAATTATTTTCAAAAAATATCATTCCTTCGCTACATAAGAGTTCACATGTTTCAAAAATGAGAGCCGAAAACCTCAATATAATTATTAAAATTAAATTGAGTTAAAGTATCAAGCCCTGTTTCATCGTCAAGCGAAAATTTAGGAATATATATATATATATATATATATATATATATAGAGAGAGAGAGAGAGAGAGATGAGATAGATATGTAAGCAAATATATGGATATAGATCCGACAGTATGAAGAAAAATATACGGAAAAACAAACAAAAATCCTAATATGCAATTATGCTGTTTTAATGTTAATATAATGTCAACGTCGGGCGTTTCGGTCTATTAGACCATCTTCAGGACATATTCATAAAACATAATTAACATTAGACTATATTCAATTCAACATGAAAAAGATGATGGACATAAGAGTAAGACTAATCCAAACAGATAACTGAAATTTTTACAAGATCAGCCTTCCTTTTAATATGATTGAATATAGTCTAATGTTAATTATGTTTTATATGTCCTGAAGATGGTCTATTAGACCGAAACGTCCGACGTTGAAATTATATTAACATTAAAACAGCATAATTGCATATTAGGATTTTTGTTTGTTTTTTCTGTATATTTTTCTTCATAGATATATATATATATATATATGATAATTGTTGGTTGGATTTTCTGTCGACGTACCCGTAGTTGTATGAATCTTTAATGTATCTTTTATACCGGCCCTTACTCTGGTCAAATGTAACGTTTAGGATATTGATCACTTTAGCGTTACAATTGGCAGTAATGTTTAGTTTATGGTCCTTAAAGAATCTAGGCACTTTCTCTTCCGTTCGGCTTGTCTTGGTCTCAGTTTAGGAAGGAGAATTATTCCGTCGTCTCTCTATACCGTTGTTTCGTTTTTTTATCAGAAATAAATATGAATGCCCATATTAACAGTATCCCTATAAATCCACATGCTCCGCAGAATTATGTGCTCCTGGGGATATGAAAAATTTGGGATATTTTTATTTGCTCCGTAGACTTCCTTCGAGGCATACAAGCGATTTCTGTGCCTGGCTTATATTTATTTCTTGGTCAGAAATATGTAAGTAGTTCTCTACAATAGTTCTATTCAATATATACATAAACACACACACACACACACACACACACACACACATATATATATATATATATTAATGCATGTTTCGTTAAATAATATAGACAAAATGTGTCTATTTATTTTAAATAAATTCGTTTCATATTGTCGAATAAGCTTTTTAGTATTATCACTGAAACACGAAAGAAAATCACCATGCTGATACATGTTTTTATTGCTAATCCTGTCTAAGCTTTCGGCTTACATAAGCCATCATCAGAGATTACAAGTAAATTACAATAAATTGAATAATAAATTAAATAACAAATATGGTATTTTTTGTTTTAGAATAGTTATGCGGACATTGCATCAATGATAGTTTGTTTTGTTTGCATGAAAGATTTCTATGCAACGATAAAATTCGTGCATATGAAACGCAGGAAGCAAATTTTAATATTGCGGTTCATGACGTCGCACATGACCACGTGAGAGTGAAAATGAAGTGTTAAATATGGAAAGCCGTTGGTATAAACCAACAGCTCCTGTTGTCAACTATACACACAATTCCTGAAAATCCTTGCTGAAAATACAACTATACTTAACCATGAAAACAATAAATAAAGACTACAAATTCTTGAAGCTATTTACATAAAACATTTGAAACCTAACCTGAACAAAATAAACTATGAAAAGTCCACATATGTACTTAGATGCTTATAGTTGATAACAGGAGCTATTTTTTATTAGAAATTTTATTATGAAAAAAAAAATCGTTTTAAGATTAAATTTTGCTATAGTCAAAATGTCCTCTTTTAACCTTAATTACCGCAGCACAGATTTTTGGCATTCGTTAATAATTGATTTCATTCTTTTTTTAAGGAATCTAATAGATTTTTTTCAGGTTTTTTCACTCCTCTATCAAGTTCATCCCATGGTAATTCTGCCGTAGTTTCAAACTTTTTGAACTGTAGTGTATATATATATATATATATATATATATATATATATATATATATATATATATATGGTTGAATAAGGTTGTTCGTTGATACTGACGATAGAGTCATTATTTCCACTTGTAGGAATTTTCTATGGTTTTGGTGAAGTGACCTTTTATTATATTGCCAATAATTTTATCTTCTGAACACATCGATATGTTGTTCAAGTTCGAATTCATCACGTATAGGGTGAAAAAACCTATTCAATATTTTCCACTGAGGAATTACATTCTTTGTCAGATTCATTTATTCTATTATTTGGGACGAGATCAAAGAGATGCGTGTATATTAACGCATAAAAATGCAATGTCTTCAACCAAAACATTCCTGCCATCGTTCATTCATTCTTTTTAGTTAATTCCGTTCTTACTCAATATCTATCTATCTATCTATCTATCTATCTATCTATCTCTCTCTCTCTCTCTCTCTCTATATATATATATATATATATATATATATATATATATATATATATATATATATATATGTTAATATGATATCGATTTTTCACGCTCGGTCTGTCCATGCCTGTCTATTGATCTATATTCTATATTGTTGAATATCTATATTGTTTGAATCTATTTGCTTACATACCTGAACCAGTTCCTATCTATCTATCTATCTATCTATCTATCTATCTATCTATCTATCTATCTATCTCAGTTTCTTGAGAAGTATATATATATATATATATATATATATATATATATATATATATATATATATATATAAACATAAAACATTAGGCAGCATATAATTTACATACAAAGAAATAATCACACATAGAATCAATCAGAAGTATTAATGCGATTATTGGCGACATCCATCGCTAGAAACATAATGTATGCATTAAAATACTGTTATTCCATGGTGTGGAGTGATTCTCGTCGATAATAGAGGACTATTCGTAAGTACTAGCATTTTAACATCAAATAAACTGAAAACTACAGACATCAAGTTTATCGACGAGGATCACTTCACACTATGGATTAACAGTATTTTAATGTATATATTATGTTTATAGCGATGGATGTCGATAATCGCATTAATACTTGAGTGATTTTATATGTGATTATTTCTTTGTATATATATATATATATATATATATATATATATATATATAAATTTTTCAGAGCTATCTATGTTGGTTTCTTCAGATTTATCTATCTATCTGTTTCTTAAGAAGTATATATATATATATATATATATATATATATATATATATCAATTTCTTTAGATCTATGTCAGTTTCTTAAAATCTGTCTATGTCAGTTTCTACAGATCTATCTATATATATATCTATGTATCTATAACAATAATAACCACATTTTCCCACTTTCGGCATTAAATTGCATTATTAAGCATGAACTATAGTTTAACTAGAATTTCACAGCTTTAACAGATTCATTTAAAATATAAAAATTGAAAGCCTACTGTTATTTACATCTGTTTACATTTACATGTTACGAAAGAATTTCCATTTGTCTTGATAAAGTCCAAGATACATCTTTCTATAGAACGATTTTTCTTTCTTCTTGATATATATATATATATATATATATATATATATATATATATAGATAGATAGATAGATAGATAGATAGTTGGATTGATGTGATATTTTGTCTCTGTGTTTCACGCTATTTGCGATCGTTAGACAAACAGCGTGGAACTCAGGATCACAAACACACAATCCAACTAAATATGTTAATTCTATCTCTGATATTGAGCGCTTTCCAATAAGTATCGTGCATATAATATATAAATAATATATATAATATAATGCACACACACACACACACACATATATATATATATATATATATATGTATATATATATATGTATGTGTATATATATATATATATATATATATATGTGCACACACTTTTCGTATATATATATATATATATACATATATATATATGTATGTATGTATTAAGACATGTGTCATTATATATATATAATGATACATATCTTAATACATACATGCATATATATACAAGTATATATATATATACATACATATATATACAAATATATATGCATGTATGTATGTATTAAGACATGTATCGTTATATATATATATATATATATATATATATATATATATATAAATGTATGTATTAAGACATGTATCATTCAATAATGTGTTGTGTCTACTTATTTTTAATAGGATCCTCTCGAAATTACGGACAGGTTTCTTAGATACCTTATAAAAGGAAGAACGAAAATTACCAAGCGTATTAATTTTATTCCGAGCATTTTCGATATTTACACAATGTCATCATCAGGTCTTGTTTTTTCTAAGACAAAAAAATGTCTCGATGGTTGAGTTTTCATTTGACCTAGTAATGTTAGACTATAAAAATCGGGTATTCTAGAGTGCTATTATATTAGTTTATACCATATATTTATATTAAGACATGTCATTAAATAATATAGACAAGTGTTGTCTACTTGTTTTTAATACGGCCCTTTCTTATTCACGGACAAGCTTCTTAGTATCCTTATTCAAGGAGGAAAGAAATTTACCATGTTGATGCATATCAATTTTATTCCGAGTACTTTCGACATTACTAAAATGTCATCATCAGCGTCTTATTTCATATAAGACACATTTATTTTGTTTATCTTAAAATATATTTATTTATCCCTGAAGATGATCTTAGAAATATCCGAAAGTACTTAATTAAAAAAAAAAACAAAAACTACGGCACCTTCCTTGATGAATTTCATCTTAACATCAAGAAACTGATTACAAAACGTGAAAGGATCAGTATAAAAAAAAGTAAGTAGACACAATATATCTGTATTATTCAATGAAAAATGTTTGAATGAAGATATGATGCCTAAATACAGACACATCTATCTATCTATCTATCTATATATATATATATATATATATATATATATATATAAAATATACAGTGGGGTTGAATAAGTGATCATAGATATGAAAATATTTCATATTTTTATTTGTAAGATATTAAATTAACAAAACGGGAATATATCTACTGTATCAGATTGCATACTAAAAATGTATGCATATAAAACTAAAATAATATTCCATGGTTAAGAAAATATAGCAATATTTAAATTTTAATGGTTTAAAAGATGATCGTACAGCAGAACAAAAACATGTTTTCTCCATTTAATATTTTGTAGCAAAGCCTTTATTAAGTTCAACAACAACCAATCTCTTCCTGTAGTCTTTAATTAACGATTCGCACACTTTCGTAGCTATTTTGTCCCATTCTTACTGAGTAATTGTCTTCAGGTTTATGTTTGTTGAACCTCTATCATGGATCTTATTTTTCAAAAACTGCCATAAATTCTCTATTGGATTCAAATCCGGCGACTGACTGGGCCATTGTAAGATGTTAACGTTGTTATTAGCAGTATGCTTGGGATCATTGTCTTGCTGAAAGATCCAATCAGGAGGAAGCCCAAGATTCTCTACAGAAAGCGATAAATTTCGCTTAGGATTTGTTGATATTTTTCTGCATTCATTCTACCGTCTATAATTGCTAGTTTGTCAACACCTAGCATCGAAAAGCAGCTCCAAACCATGATACTACACCCATCAAATTTGACAGTTGGTATGGTGTTCTTGGGTGCGTATGCTTCGCCGTCTTTCCTCCATACATGATTCAGGGAATTGCGACCGAACAACTCAATTTTACTCTCATCTGTCCAAAGAACTCTTTCCCAATAAGAATTTTCCTTATCTTTATGCTCTGTCGCAAATTTCAGCCTGGCATCTCTATGCCGTTTCAGAAGGAGTGGTGTCTTTCTTGGGGAGCGCGACTTTATACCGTCTCTGCGTAGTTCATTACTAATCGATTGCTTAGTTGCGTTAACTCCTGACAAACTCAACTTCTGAAGGTCTTGTCTGATGGCCATTGGGTTATTTTGGACCTGTCAGAAGAACTTTCTTCATAATCTGGGAGAGATCGTCCTGGGAGCAGCGCGTCTGCCTTTGTTCTAAACAGTATTACATCTTTTAAATTTTGCAATAAATGAACCAATTGTTGAAAAAGGTATGTTCGTGTCACTGGAGATGTTTCTGTAACTTTTTATATTGTTCCATAGCTTAATAATTAGCTGTTTTTGAGCACAAGTCATTTCCTTACATCTCGCCATTATTAGAACTGTTATCAGTGAACAGTGACTGCAGAATGATCCAATTTTGAACAGAATGTTGCAATAGAGTTACTGAGAATATTTAGAATCTACTTTGAAGTAAAACCAAAATCTATTGTATTATAATGCAAAAATTGATACTGTACGAACACTTTTTTCCACTATTCGAAATATAAAAAATTGCATAACAATCACTTATCGTTGAATTTCTAATTTTAAATTGCAGATTTTGATTTTATGCCCAAAAAAACATATATAACATTGTTATTCGAGGTTTTCATTTGCTATAAGTGAGAATAACAAGTATTTGTTTTCTGTACGATCACATATTCAACCACACTGTGTGTGTCTATATATATATATAAAGACATTTTTACATCATGATAGATACAAATATTTAAGTAAATGCTCTGTTTATAATAAACAGTATTAAACAACATTTACCGGCCTGAATGTCCGAGAAATTTTCACAGAAAATATTCGTCCTCCGACAGGATTCGAACCTGTATCCTATACGGAACCGTTATTTAGCGTGACGTGCCTTTAACTGATTTGGCTACAGAGGAGAGTTTGGTTAGCTAACCAGTTCTTTCCTATTTTCTACATATTTTCATACACACACACACACACACACACACATATATATATATATATATATATATATATATATATATATATTCATACACGTTTCATTAAATAATATAGACAAGTGTTGTCTATTTATTTTTATGTAAATTTTTTCGTAACATCTGATAAGTTTAATAACATTATCGTTGAACGAAGAAAGACATTCACAATATTGATCTATATTTTTTTTAATATAATCTAAGCTTTCGGCTTACTTAAGCCATTATCAAAGATGTCAATTATATCATATTAAGCAATATATATATATATATATATATATATATATATATATATATATATGTTATAATTCTTTTATATACACAAAAACAATTTACTCACTACAGAGATGCAACTTCGCTTCGGTGCATTTAATTGCACATCGACAGGTGAGAACCATCTTTGTAGTGAGTAAATTGTTTTTGTCCGTATGTAAAAATTATAATAAATAATTATTGCTCTACTCTTGGTATTGAGCCCTCTTTTGAATTAATGCTATAAACGTTAGAATTTATATATTATTTTCGTTCTCATTACATTCTGATATATGTGGGGGGGGAGCGAGATGCAACTGTAAAAATTCTAAGCGTGCTGTTAATTTCTGATGCTAATTACACTGATTGTTGTGGCTAATTAATCTAATTTCTCGTGTTTATATGTATTTACAACTGTGTTTTCCGTTAAAAACTGAGTATTTCTTTAAGCATTAAATTTAAAAAGACATACCTTAGTTTAAAATAGACTTTATTGATCGAAATAAAAAATAAATAAAATAAAAAATTTGGAATCTACATATTTTTTTTCCAGCAAGATACACGTTTATTTATTCCGTTAATATAGAATTCTTATCTTCCGGAGGCGATGTATTCTATAAAGCCTTTTTTTTTTTTTTGGCGGGCCTGTGAGGTTGGGGATGGGTGGTAGCGACTCTTTTAGTTGTTGAAGTCATTTCTTCGCAAGACGTTATCTAAATACTTGAGGAACTTGCAGTCGACTATTGAAAGTTTCACTCAGAGTACTGGCTGAGACAGAGGTTTATAGATCACTTCGTTCGACTTCTGTAGCGTTGGTTAGCTGACGTAGGGTTAACTGTTTTCGTATTAGACTTTTCTATTTGCCAATGCTGGACACATACACTGCGTTTTTTTTTTTTTTGTTTTTTTTTTTTTTTTTTTTTTTTTCTTTTTTTTTTCTTTTTATTTTTTTCTTTTTTTCTTTTTCTTTTTTATTTGTTTCTTTTTTCTTTTTCTTTTTTTATTTGTTTCTTTTTTCTTTTTTTCTTTTTCTTTTTTATTTGTTTCTTTTTCCTTTTTTCTTTTTTCTTTTTTCTTTTTCTTTTTTCTTTTTCCTTTTTTCTTTTTTCTTTTTCTTTTCTATCTATCTATCTATCTAATCCCAGCCTGCTCAAATCTATCTATCTATCTATCTATCTATCTATCTATCTATCTATCTATCTATCTATCTATCTCTTGACAAGCGCAGTATTTATAATGTCAGGGATACTCCATTATTATGGGTAAGTTCCCATAACACTATCTATTTCCGTTCATTATCTATCTCTACTATCTATCTATCTATCTATCTATGGTCCAAGTTCCTTGTACCAAGGTGATAGTCCAATGTTAGAACCAATGAAAGAATAACACGAACACAGGTATGGAATACAAAGATATATTACAACAGAAATATAATACAAAGAAGTAGAAGTATTAGTAATGACTATCAGATTTGGTTAGAGTGAACTATGTTGTCTCGACAAGTATCACTATTTCAGTGTCCTTACAATATGCTCTCAATTATCTCTCCTCGTCTTACAATATCTGCTCATACCTCTTGAGAGGCGCAGTATTTATAATGTCAGGAATAGGCCATTATAATTATGGGTAAGTTCCCATAACACTATCTATTCGGATGAAAGATTCGGAACCTACTTTTATTAAAACTTCCTTCGCTACAGACTTCATTGACGCTACGATGCGGCCGAGCTTAAACTAAGAAAGACATTTGACGAAAATCTTATTATAACATTTTAGCTTCAAAGACCTGAAAATCGACAGAAATTGCAATTTCTTTTAAACGTAGAATAAATAGAAAGAAAAGGCATGAAACCGGCTTTAAAATTATACGTTTTTTTCTTTAGGATATTTAAATAACTAAATGCATAAGATTTGCTTTAATTTCACAACAATCTAATGGTTTTGCCTATGGTTAGGACTTACATACACCGAAATATCTCTCTGACTTTGCCAAAGTGTGTGGTCGTTTTTTTAGTTTTTTTTTCCTTTTTGCCCCCATTTACGTCTCTGTGTAAGGACATGTTTATTTTTGTCGAGCGAGAAACGCCGTTACTTTGCAAACATTAAACGTTTTATAGAGTTTTCAAACAGAACATCTATTGTTTCCAAATTAGCTACTTGTCTAGGGATCAATTCGTCTAAATACAAACACGCACAATAATATTCTTTGCCTTCTTTAAAATTCAGCGTTCTCCTCTTCCTTCCTTCCTTCCTTCCTTCCTTCCTTCCTATCTATCTATCTATCTATCTATCTATCTATCTATCTATCTATCTATATATATATATATATATATATATATATATATGTCAATCTATCTATCTATCTCAGTCTGTCGTTCTCTCTCTATTACTCTCTCTCTCTCTCTCTCTCTCTCTATATATATATATATATATATATATATATATATATCAGTCTGTCCGTTATCTATCTATCTATCTATCTATCTATCTATCTATCTATCTATCTATCTCTGTCCGTCTTCTATCTATCTGTCTATGAGTTTGTAAATTTCTATCTATCTATCTATCTATCTATCTATCTATCTATCTATCTATCTATCTATCTATCTATGTGTGTGTGTGTGTGTCTATCTATCTCAGTCTGTCGTTCTCTCTCTCTTTCTCTTTCTTTCTCTCTCTCTCTCTCTCTCTCTATATATATATATATATATATATATATATATATATCAGTCTGTCCGTTATCTATCTATCTATCTATCTATCTATGAGTTTGTAAACTTCTATCTATCTATCTATCTATCTATCTATCTATCTATCTATCTATCTATCATCACTTAATATTTTTATTTATAATTTTTTTTACTCATTCTCATATTTAGTATTAAGTTAATTTAACTCGCTTTCAAAAATCTACAAAAAAGAAAAAAAAAAAAAGAAATGAAAAAGGCAATTAACAAGGTTACACAACAATTCCCGAGTTTAAATCTTTAAACAATATCTACCACCCGTCCACGGAGTGAATATTGCTGTCACAACTGTTTGCGGTAATTCGACTTTACGAATTTAAGCGCAATACTAGATTGGCTGCTAGGTCTCATTCATTTTTAAGTTGAAAATCTATCTATCTATCTATCTATCTATCTATCTATCTATCTATCTATCTATCTATCTGTTTGTCTGTCTGTCTATCTATCTATCTATATATCTAGCTTTATACGTATATATATATATATATATATATATATATATATATATATACAGAGAGAGTGAGAGAGAGAGAGAGAGAGAGAGAGAGTGATCTTATCTATAGGTAGATAGATAGATAATGTTTTATTTTTCTCGTATGCTTTCACCCCAACATTGCCCCTTAGTGGCTTCATTACTTTGCTTGGATTGAAATGATTATAAAATACTTTTCTTGATGATGGTAAAAAAAAGTCATGAACCCACTCTCCCCTGCACACATTGTCAGATATTTTATGTATTGACTCTCGTAATAGATGTGGATATCCAGGCGGTGTAGTGAATAGCGTCACGAAACGACAAATTGTCCTCATCTTTGTCGCCATATTTATTACAATGTTTTGGCTGTTGTACGCTCCGGCCTTCTTCAGGTGGGTTGGAATGTCGAACGGAACTCTTTTATTTCGCTCACTGGGGTAGAATGTTCTAGTTCCAAGTGCCATGTTTGATAGATGTTAGTTATCAGTTATCTCCTGTTAATTTCACTCTGAAAGTTCTCCACTGCCTTAAGGCAGTGGAGAACTTTCAGAGGGAAATTAGAAGACTAGAAGAGTCAATGCCAGTGAGCGAAATAAAGGGTTCAGTTCGACATTTCAACCACCTGAAGAAGGCCGGAGCGTACAACGACCGAAACGTTGTAATAAATATTGTGACAAAGATGAGGACAATAATCCGAATAATGTAAATAATGTACTATTCGACTTTATATTTAACATCCCCCCACCACGAAGGATGCATGTGGCACAAGGCCGCATTTACCGTCGGTTTTCCGAGCCCACTTTGTGAAAATATTGGCTTGCATAATAAAATCTGACAGTATATAGGTTGAATATTTATTATCTATTTCTTGTTTATTGCTTTTAAACAGTTAATAAAAGAAGAGACTATTAAGAGTCAAAAAGCTAGTCAGTTGTATTAATACTTTTTTTTTGTACAGGAAGAATATCTGATTTGTTAATTTAAAATTTTTTCTTTTTTTTCTTTTTTTGTAACTTTTATTTAGGCTATCAATGAAACAAAAGTATTTGTTTCTATTTAAATGTACTGACCAAATTTTTGAAAAAAATCTAGATGATGTACTTAAAGCCCATTGACTTTAAAATTTGATGAGTAACCTTCAATAAAGGTTTGGTTAACAATTCCGATAATGTCATCACATTGCCACCTTCATTTAGCCATAGGCATATCTTCATCAGATAAAATCCATCTTTTTTTTCTATTAGGTCCACTGAGTGTCACTCGAGATTTGCTCATCAAGTGTCACTCAAGATTTACATGTTTAGAAAAGTCAATTTTCATGTATTTTTTGGCCCAATTTTAACACCAAAATATTTGTTTTACTGAGAGAAGTTTGCTGAGTAGATTTCTTGACAGATCCTAATTTGAAAAGTATTCTCCATCTTTTGTCCTTCTTGACTCCCTCAATTCCAGCCTTTTCAAACATCTACGTACCAGTCAAAAGTAGTTGTTTTGCTATAACTCACTTTAGTTTATGTTCTCCTCAAGGTGACAAGTTCTTAAAGCCTTTTTCTTTGCTTCTAGTTCTCAACTTAGTTATATTTCAACAGCTCTCTTTATTATTTGATGATCTCTGTGAAACTCCTTTGATATCTCCAATGTGGACAATTTCCTCATTCAATAACTTTATTTTCTGTTTTTCAGCATTTGTTAGATCCTTTCCTTTATCCATGTTTCATATGTTTATGGAAAAAAGAGAAAAAAATAGTTTTTATTAGATTTCAGAGACCTTAAACTAATATTAGTTTAATCTGTATAATAACTTCAGACTTCGGTTTTTATAATAAATCCATTAACTTTAATAAAAACACATTGAAACTATCAAACTAGCAATTCTTGAAGTTTTTTTTCCTTTGTGTTATGGTCCGGTTCCTTGTACCACGGTGATAGTCTAAGGTAGAACCAATAAAGAAGTACTCGAACACAGGTATGGAATAACACAGATATATTACAAACAGGAATATATACAGAGAAGTAGAAAGTGTTAGTACGAACAATCAGGTTTAGTACGGGGGAAAATGTAGTCTCGACCAGTATCACTATTCCAATGTCTTGCAGTAATTATCTGAACGCGACTCTGTTTCGGACTGCCTCTGACTCGACTGACTGACTCGCTCGCTCTGACTGACTGACAGACTCCCGACGGACTTCACTCCAGACTTCAGACTGAACGGTATTTAGCCACTCCCACACGAGGGCATCATGTGGCACAAGGCCGGTTTAACGTGGGATCTCCGAGACCGTGGGCTCGTCCAAAACCCGTATAAACGGGTTCAGGGTCGGTTTACCTTCCCGAAAAAGACTCCGCCCTTCGGCGTAGCATCGTTCGGGTTCCTCCCCGCCCGAAGGTAGAGAGTTCAACCGATCAGCTGGTCGCCCGACTTCGAACTGAACAGTATTTAGTCACCCCACCACGAGGGCATCATGTGGCACAAGGCCGGTTTAACGTGGGATCTCCGAGCCCGTAGGATCTCCGAGCCCGTGGGATCTCCGAGCCCGTGGGCTCGGCCAAAAATATGCCCTTTTGAACCGGTATAAACGGGTTCAGGGTTGGTTTACCTCCCCGAAAAAGACTCCGCCCTTCGGCGTAGCCTCGTTCGGGTTCCTCCCCGCCCGAAGGCAGAGAGTTCAACCGATCAGCCGGTCAGCCGGTCGCCCGACTTCGGACTGAATCCCCTGCTTCCTCTTGAGGCGCAGTATTTATTAGGTATGGAATTGTCCATTATGTTATTATGGGTAAGGTCCCATAACACTTTGCTAGTATTTCTCAGCTTACTTATATTTTCAACAGCCTTCAGTGATCTCTGCAAAGCTCCTTCGATAACTTCAATGTGGACATTCTCTCACTCAATAACTTTGTTATTTACTGTTTTTCAGCAGTTGTTAGATCCACCCATTTACCCATGCTTTAAGGACAAAAAGAAAAAAGATAGTGTTTATTAGATTTCAGAGGTCTTAAGCTAATATTAGGTTAATCTGCATAATACCTTCAGTCAGTCCATTTTCTTAAATTTAATTATCTCTAAAACTATCCATTAGAAATGGTAGAAAATTCAATAAAATATTTTACTATCGTGATATTTACTTGACCCCCCACTGAGTCAGGTTGTGACACAAGGTCAGTTTTTTAACGTGGGGACCCGAATGTTTTGGTCTTAGCTTGTCCAAGCTGGTCACAGCTGTTCTAAGCTCGTCATAGTTGGTCTTAGCTGGTCATAGCTTGTCCAAGCAGGTCTTGGCTTGTCCAGGCCGGAGCCGGTCCAAGCTACTCCTAGCCATAATACCACCAGCCCAGGGACGAGCCCTGTGCCAGGTACGTATTTGACCGATCATACTTAAAAGGGCCATCCTTAAAAGGATGATCGTTCAAATATTTTACTATCGTTGTAATAGACAAGTTTAAATTTCACAAATATTCTTTCAGAACATTTTAAATTATTGAAGTTTATCTGGTTTGCATAATACGTTCAGACAGGCTGTATATATATATATATATATATATATATACAATTCATGTTTATGTAATTCATCAATTAATGCAGTTACTGATATAACAGTAGTCTGTATTTAATCAATCGAAGTTAGCCGATGACATGAAGCGGTAAAACAGGCAACATGAAGACCCACTTCAGACCACAATTATCTTGGGGCTTTTGAAATTCAATTTGTCATTATGATACCAGTGATGTAAAAGAGGACACATTTATAAAACAATTGTTAAGTTTGATGTAAATTGGTTGAAAGATCAACGAAAAATAAGAAAGAAACCTGTAAAAGCCGCCATTTGTCGCTATTTACGCTGGGTTTCACTAAATATGTTGATTCAATTATCAAGTTAAATGACTTTTAAACAATCAACTTATTGTTGGCTACAATTGAGTGAAGTTTGTATTAGATTGCTTGAAAATTGAGGGAGTTTTGTGTTGAAATCGATTTTTAAAGCCTTTTCGTTGCTTCTCAACTTATATTTTCCAATCACCTTTATCGTTCGATGATCACTGCAAAGCTCCTTTTATGTTTTCAATGTGGACATTCCGTCACCCAATAACTTTGTTATTTTCTGTTTTTCAGCAACTGTTAAATCATTCTCCTTTACCCATGTTTCAACATATAGAAAAAAAATTAAAATAGTATTTTATAAGCTTTCACAGAAGTAATTTTTTAATCGTTTCATCTCAAGCAAGGCGACAATATCACTAAGACGCGAGGGGCTACAGGTCGTAAAAGAGAATGAAAAGAGTTTAGTGATGAGAAGTGAGTAAAAGAAAAAGGAAGAGGGTTCAGGAAGACAGAAAATGGCGATGGACGTTGTATTTGAATCTTTGCAGGTTCCTGGGAGTGAAAGAGAATGATAAGACTTTAGTGATGAGAAGTAAGGAAAGGAAAATAAATGAAAAGGGTTCAGGAAGATATAAGATGGCGATCGGCGTTTTATTTAAAATTTTGCAGGTTACACTGAGTGAAAGAAAATTAGAAAAAAAATAGTGATGAGAAATGAAGAAAGGGCAATAAAGGAAGCGGGTTGAGGAAGACAGAAGATGGCGATTGGCGTTGTATTTAAATTTGTGAAGGTCGTA